ACATTAACGATGGATTTGTTATAACCTGGTAAATTATTCATAAAACATATTAGAACGTTGTATTTTGTATATTAATAAATATCAGTAAATATGTGAAATACACTCAAACCTCTGATGCAAATGACAACCGTTTCATTTCACCCCCAGAAATGCCTTTAACCATTTGTCCACCAATTCTGCTCTCAGAACATTTGACCAAGTTTAACTACATTGAAAATATATTGTTAAAATCTAGAAATTGACAATTATCTAGACATTTAAGTAATTATAATTATGATATTAATATTTATGACAACAAGCATGATCTATAGATAATTTATGTTTAGGTATTAATACTGTACAAGTTAATTTAAGAAATATTGCAAAATACACTAAAAATAATTTAGTAATTAAGCCATTTTTCATCAAGCTAAATATTTCAATTTACCTTTATCAATAAATCTTGAACCAATTTATTTTTTGTGATTCGAGTTAAAGTTCCACCAAAACGCAAAGTAGCCTTAAATATAATTTAAATGTTACATTATAGAATTACAAATAAATATTTAACTATTTTTAATTAAATAATTAATTAGTCAAACCAATACATTAATCATGAGATGCTCTCTAACGGTAAGCAACGGATGAAACAAATCATTTTGTTGGATATACGACGAGATGGAGGCCAGTGTCCCCCCGTTTACCGGCCGTCCGTTTATCAGCACATCTCCGGTGACCGACATTTTACCCATATTTCTACCGGTGAGTGCATTGAGCAAGGTTGTCTTACCAGCCCCACTATTATTATTTGTATAACATGTTGTAAAATATAAAATATATTATTACTGTAATAGTTATCTAGATTAATAGTTAATGAATACTAACAATTTCTATTTTAGGTAAAGTTATAAAAATTAATTCATTATTAATACACATGTATAACTAATAAAAATAAATTATTGTAATGTGGTAAATTTATTAAAACTAACTCAATAATTTAAATAGACAATACAAGTAGTTTCTTACCTAGGACCCATAATAGCCAATAATTGACCAGGTGCAACATTGCCTGATACTAATTACATTAAATTATTACGTGAATAAACATAATTAAAAACAAACAACATTTTATAAATGTAAATAAATGTTTATTATTAAAAAAAATTATTTATTATAATTTACCATTCCGGATAATCTCTTTAGGTGGTCGCGTATTTCGGTAACAATTATAAATAGTTTTATTAACTTTGGTAAAAACCTGCAAATTTAGCCATGATAAATTGACCTGGTGCACAACATTACGATTGTTCACTGATGGTTCACTTATCTCCAAAATAACTCTCATTGTAAATTATTTAAATATCAATAATTATTAAACTAAAATAGTTATATAATTAATTTAAACAAATAACAAATTAAATAAGTGTAAAGTTTATTATATGTATTATTCTATCTTACACAATAATTATTTTATAGTATTAAATAGTTTATACAAAACATTACTTAAGAAGTGTTAAGGTGTTAAATCATAATTTAATATTCTAACAACAACTATTACTAGCAATTCATGATTACAATACACATTTTATAATGCAATTCGTGTTAATGGAATATACCGTATAAATCATTTTCATTTTGAAGTTAGCAAGATTCCATAAATTATAATTTTCACTATGAAAATTTTTATCATAGTTAATAATAAACATATTTTTAACAACTATCCGTCCACTTTCATTAATTATTACTATAACTAATATACTGGGCACTCTTTTTTAACTAGTTTTAACCAGTTTAATTTTATAAGTAATTTTTAATTATTTTTATCATCATTATTTTCTTATAAAACATATTTTTCTAATTAAAAAAACATTAACTGTTCAGTGACTTTATACTATTGTCGTAAAGTCTTATTTTATATTTATACATAATTAAGTCTGAAAATTATTATTTATAAATGTTATAAAATAAAAAGCTTGACATTTATTTTTAACATTACTTACAATGTTGTTAGGGGTATAAAGGTACAGTATATTTTATCTTGTATTACAATACAAGGTTTACAGCAATTCTATGTGTAAACCACAATTCGGTCACTGAAAGAACAGATTAGCATTATTTATAAGTTTAATATGAGTTCTGTAGACTTGCCATAGAGTTAGCCTTACCCATAGGATTAGCATTAGTCCCATAGAATCCACATTATCCTTAACTTAGCATTGCCATAAACATATACAAATTTAATAATAAATGTTTTGATATACAGTACTATTTGTAATGCAATCATAAATTTTATACATGGATTTAAAATCATATATCGAGTTTTGAGTAAATAGATTATAATTACTTTTATTTTGGTTTAGTTATATAACTGGAACATAAAATAAATTAAATAATAAACCACATAATTAGTAATGCAATTGTAATACACAATATAAATACATATAAATGGGAATAATTAAAAATATTATTTTTATAAATAAGTGGACGATCTATAGACGGGGCACAACCGGGCGACACATCCATGTCATTTAAATTATACATTAAAATCTCATAGAAAACCAAATTATCATTAGATTTCAGTGTATTTAAAACATTATTAAATTCTTTATGATTTGTGACAACATTCTTATGGATAGACCACTCGTTATATTTGGCCAACACTTTCCTACACTCAGGCCTTTGTCTCCAAACAATTGCCATCATTTGCTGAAGTGTTTCATACATGCATTGTATGGATGTCTTGAGCAGTGGATCCGTGGCTTTAAATGATTTTGAACTATAAAGTAATAAAAATGTAAATATATTTTTGTATGTAATAAAATTTATAAAATACTTACGCCTGTAAATCAATGCCAAATAATTCACCGCCGATTACATGAAGACTATAAATGTCTGATAAATGGTTATATTTACGGGAATGTACTTCGGGTGCAATATATCCATGAGTACCGCAAACTGTGTGGTCGTATCGGCTGGCAGTGTGTCTATTCATGTCGTGATCGGTGGCCAAACCAAAGTCACACAATTTTACAAAGCGATTGCACCTAACGTTGTGTTCAATCAATATGTTATCGGGTTTGAGATCCCTATGAATTATCCGTGGATTGCATTCGTGTAGATATTGGACGCACTCTAAGAGCTCTTTGAATATTTGACATGAAATAAAATATTCAAATACTTTCATCTGATCTTTCGGTTGTCTCCCGAAGACAATGACTTTGTCTTTGAGGAGAGTTTTAAGACTTTGCGGACAGAATTCCATCTGAATATAGAGATGATTGGACTCAAACCACGAGTGATAATACTTTACCACATATTTTGACACCAGTTTTGCTAAATTATTGACTTCTTTTAATACTTTTAGTTTACTTTCTTCACTAAATCCTATGAAATTTTTATGAAAATATATTTTAATAATTGCAAAATTTTTTAATGATATTTACCATCAATTGGTACTCTTTTAACGGCATATATTTTATCATTGAATCTATGCTTTACTTTAAATACAGTCCCAAAACCACCCGAACCTATGGTTGAAATCTTTATAAATTGGTTATTATAGTAGCCATCACTTGATATTAATAATGTTTTATCATTAATTTCTTTCAGATTAATTGTATTATAAGTTATGTGGTATTCATTGGCGTAAAAGTCGATAAAATTATTATAATTTGTTT